CCGCTGATCGCCTATATGTGAAAACACCCGGTAACGGGTGTGTGCAATGGTCGGGTCTTCTCTGCCCGTGCGTGCCCGCTAGGGGGCGCGCGCGAGCAGAAAAAAAAATGCCATCTAGCGACGGCAACCCGCCAATGCAGCGGTGCCGTCCGTCCGTCCGTTTTTTTTACTACGGGCGGACGGCCAGTGGTTAATTGGCTCCCCGTCTATATTGGCGCTATATGCACGCATGTGAGGTGGGGACCTCAGATTGTAAGCTCCTTCAGGGCAGGGACTGATGTGCAACTATGTAAAGTGCTGCGTAAATTGTCGGCGCTAAATAAATAAAATCACCTCATGAATACTCCCATGAGCCAAAAGTGACAGTCGTGGCCCTTGGCAGCCTGTTAGGAAAGTCGATCTGCCCAACTTATGCGAGATGAAAGGGAAATACCTGTGTGAGAAGCGTCAGATAGGAGCTGCCTATTTCCGTATGCTTGACCACGTACTAGTTCCAAGGCAATGAATTGATCCGCATTGCTGCCTTAGAACTGGTAATCAGTCTGGAATAAACCTTCCATCTGTCACTCCTCAGTCACGTACTCAGCTCCCGGATAGATTTCCTTTTACAGGATTTTGTTTAGAAGACTTCAGAGAGATCCCATTCTCCAAGACCAAGTTCTTATGAGCCGTCGTCCCCACACACAGTGCGAAGGTTTATCTGCAATCAGCACAAGAGGCGATTGTGGGAATGGCTTTAAACGCACTGATCAAGGCTGCGACAGTTGGCGATCATCTGCTGCCGTCATTTCACGCTTGGTGTCTTGAAAGAACGCCATAAAATTGCTCAGATGCCGCCACCATTTGTCTCAGGGACGGAAACCTTTTGAAGATGAACTCTACAATAAAGAAGTTGAACTACTGAGACCTGATAAAGAATCTCTCTCTTGCTGCGATTTCCTATAATAAAGACCGGTCACCGCTGCTGCCTCTCCTTATGCAGGATGATCAGTCTTCTATCCGCCCGCACTGGGGTGATGACATCATCGCTGCCTGTGTGTGGTGAGTACACTCGCTCAATAACTTCCATCCTCGCCCCTCTACATACCCACAGGCAGCTATACCGAGAGAGATAAACAACGATGATGGGGAGTTCTCTGCTCCTCTGTCATCACCCACACATAGCCCAGAGCACTGACTACAATAGGATGCAAGAAAGGGTGCCCCGCAGAACCCTCCTCCCAGCAACCAGAGATCTACATAGCTCAGGGTGGGAGAGAAAAGGAAGGTACTTGGCACAAAAGTGAGTTAAATAAAAATATGGTATCAGCAGTTGCTTGTGCACAGCGAGTAGAAGCATTGATGTTAAAGCTGAACCCGCCAAAGGAATGGCATTTGTCTATCCAGTCCTGAGATTTACACAGCTCTGTCACACAGCACTGCAGGGCAGGAGACCAGTTTTCTTTGCTGCAGTTAAGTAAAACATTTAACAGGGCTTGCTCACACCATATCCACCGAGATGCCATTTTCTGAACACCACCCCACGTGCATGGAACACATAGATTTCTATGGTCTGAACAGGGCCCATAGGTATGCAGCAGTGTGCAGAAAAATAAATATCAACGGACATGGTGGTGTGCAGAAAAAAAGAACAGATGAACAGACACTGTGTGAACAAGTATTGTCAGGTTTTGTACCTCCTACAGACTGTCACTGGGACAGTGAAAGGAGAAGCAGCAGACTGACTTGCTCATCTCTCTGTCACTCTGCTCTCACCTCCAATAAGCATTCTCATTGCAATGCAACACAACCAACTGGCTCCTTGTGCTGCTTCTCCATCCCCCAGTCTGAGCTCTGCAGTACAATGGTGGACAGTGAAAGGAGAAGCAGCAGACTGACTAGCTCACCTCTCACCTCCAACAAGCATTCTCGTTGCAATGCAACACAACCAACTGGCTCCTTGTGCTGCTTTTTCCACTCCCCAGTCTGAGCTCTGCAGTACAATGGGTCATGTGGTGGCAGGGCCTCCCATTGCCACCCAAGGACAACAGATACTGTTGGCACCGACACATCCATCAGGTCTTTTTTGCCAAAAAACTCTTTTGCTGAGCCACTAGCAATTATTTTTTTTATCTGTACACTGACTGCTAACATGCAAGGTGGTGATGTGCGTGGGCTTGGTGTGAACCACTTCAGTTGCGGGACGGGTAATTCCCCCGGCCGCAAATGATTGGGCCAGGGGGAGGTGTCACTGACAGTTTTGTGCGGGCTTGGGTGTTTCGCAGCAAGCCCATGCACATCACTAATGCACAGAATGATAAAATAATGTTAACTCCAGTGCGCATGCATCCCAATTACATCATCAGTGCCTGCCCATGCAAGTAATCTGCAGACCCAGAAGAAGAGGAGGACATGGCACCATCGCGACAATGCGGCTATGGGGAGCTCCGACCTCAGCATTTGCTAGAACGGGCACGTATGCACAGCACACTTGCACATTATGACCAGTGATGTGCAGGGGGCTTGGTGCAGACCCAGGTCGCATGAGTTCACACAAGAGAGAGCAGAACTGTGACCGTCAGGGACAGATTTGCACTCTCTTGTGTGAACTCATGCGGCCTGGGCCCCGCTCATAGCTGGTCAGAACGTGCAGGTGTGCTGTGCATACACGCCCATTATAGCAAATTCACAAAATCAGTGCTGAGAAAAGTACAAAGGCTGCCATTGCTGGTCTCCTTCAGAAGACACTAGCACCTTGGCAGCCATGCTGATCCTCTATTCCACGGGTAGGCAGCTTCAGCACTCCAACTGTGGTGAAACTGCACCTCCTACCATACCACTGGGAGTCGTGCAATGCCTCATGGGACTTGTAGTTCCACAACAGCTGGAGTGCCCAGGTTGCCTACCCCTGCTCTAACCGACACTTTCCAAGTCACTGACCTGGAACATGCATGCAGTCAATGAAGTCACAACAGCTGTTTGCTTACTTGTTCCAGGTCAGTGACTCAGGAAGTATTGAAGCCATTAGATCAGCATGATGGCCAGGCAAAGAGGAGTTCCAGCATCAGTCTGCATTGGCAGCCTCTGTATTTTGATTGGCACAGAAGAGCGGTACCCCACTGTAAAGTAAAGACCTCCGGCGGGGGGAGAATCACAGAACTCAGGTCCCCGCGAGTCATCATAGTTGGACAGGAATCCATTCACAAGCATTCACCTGTACTAGAAAGATCAGTTATGATGTAACCTTCAACAGGCAAATGCAAAAAAGAAAGAGCCAGAATATTATAACCAAAATGTGAAATGCTGATCCCCGGTGCTGTGTGTGTACCCCTCAGATCTGTACATGCAGCTCCCAGATTTGTACATACACCCCCAGGATCCCCATCACTCACCACTTGGCTGCATTTCAGGACCCCAAACAGGGAGCGGATGTATTCCAGGTCACACTGAAGACCCCGCCAGCCCCGGTTCTGTCTGACGGGCTCCGTGGTGGGCTGGTAAGGACTGCTGGCCCCCGACACCATGGAGGCGGTGGAAGCTTCTCCTTCAAACCCATCCATGTCTTCAGCCCAAACTATGACCCTTGGGGGCCCCAAAGGTGAAAAGACAGATCAGAGCAGGGGGCCACACTTCCCAGAGCGCATTGCACAGACTTCGGGCACAGCCTGAGCGTTGACTGGTGTGGGCACTCTGTTGACCTTTGCCCTTGACCCACACAGAAGCTCGCGCCCCCCCCCCCAAAGGGCTTCTCAGGCTCTCTCCCTTATCCCTCAGACAGACTGCAGCACACTGTGGCGCAGGTCTTCTTTCTCTCTCTTCGTAACCCACTCCTCCAACCTCACTTGGGGCTGCTGGCTCAGTCCGGTGCGCCCCTTTTCAGTCACCACACCCCGCGAAGGGTTCCCCGCTCCATCCAGCGCAGCCTGGGCCCCGCTGCTGGCTTACGAAAACGTGCACGCGCCGCGCGCTCCCCCTCTCCCGAAGCACTGACGCGCTCTGCAGGTAACCTCCGCCGACTCGCCGCGTCCCGTCCAATCGCACAGCCGCCTCTTTGTGACGTCACGGCACGGTCCCCTTGGCTGCTCCGCCCACACTCCTTCCTTGCTTTCTTGGCTGCTTCCTTCCAAAGTAGGTGAGGTGTAGCCGCGTCTCTGGCACCACACTCATTTAGCTCCGCCCCCTTTGTTTACATTCAGGAGCAGAGCTGTCATTAGCACCAAGCAAGCCAGCAAGGGGGACTTTTTATTTTTTCTTTCATCTGGTTGGATTGTGATTGATGAGGATCTACATCGCTGGACGGCGTTATTGATGAGGGTTTACATCATTGGACACTTTGTGGTGTGTTTAATTACCATCTTAATGTTTATTTAGTGAATGAGTAGGGGTAACAACTATCCCTTACTCATTCACGGGAGGCAACATCTGGGCAGTGGCGTCACGCGGGGGGAGTGGCCCGCACCCGGGTGACACTAAAATGACTGATAGTCATTTTGGTGTCCCCCCCCTTAGTTGCTCGAGAGAGAGAGAGGAGGGGACCAGGCGGTATACCTTATGCGCCGGGTAACGTCCCCTCCTCTCTCTGCTGGTGTCCATCACCAAGATGGCCACCGGCAGGTAACAGCGGTACCACGTGGTGATGTCACTGCGGGGTGCCACTCGGTACCCGCACGTGTCACCCCGCCTCTGCGTCTGGGTGCCCCCTTTATGAAAGAGGGCACCCAGATTCAGATAATACCCTTCCCTGCAGACCTCCATGACCACTGGGGCAAGGTTGTGGGGAAGAGGCCCTTGTTCTTATCAACATGGGAGCATGCACATGGGAATGGAGGCATAATTTTGAATGCCCGTTTGCATGGGCATGTTTGTGGCATATACCCGCATACTGCCATTAACCTGTACACGCCACCTGTGGCTCCCTGGCGGCCAAAATGCACCACAATTTACTTTGGCCACAGGTAGCCATGTACATGAGCCCATAAAGTAATTTTCAAAAAAAAAATTTTTTTCATAAGTTCCCTGTTTATAATTATCTGTCCCATCATTCAGCCCTGGAATCTTCACTCTCTTGCAGGATGTCTCTTCCAGAATCTTCACATCCAACACACAAGCAGGTGTGACAAATGCCTGCGTCCCCCACCATATGCTATGGTTTCACCCACCGACCCCTATGTCACTACAGGACACCAGGGCATGCGGATGGAACCACAATGAGCAGTGGGGGACGCAGGCATCTCACACAACTGGAACTATGACAGATGTTAAGCCTGCTGGAGTCTTTGCTGTGCAGGAGAGCGAAGATTCCAGGAACGGGCATCGGGATATCTAAGTATAAAGTTATTTTAAAACTGGCCCAATCTATCCCTTCTCCCCCCGCCACTCCATGTGCTCTGTGAAAGAATGGAAACAATCTCTGTGTAAGCTCCAAGTCAATCCAGCTCTGCTCTCTGTACAGGCTGCATACAGCCCGGTGATGATGTCACTGCTACTTTTACAAGGTAATAATATCTTTTGTGGCCATTGAGGAATATTTTGAAATAAACGTTTTTGTGCCCGGTGTTCAGCTCATAAGAATTCATATTGATAGAATGCTCCGTTCATATCTGAGTGCTCTACAATGTAAACTGCGGTAACTATGCAGGGCGTATTGTGGAACCTAGTCTTGGGGCGGCAGGGGGAGTAAATGCGGCCCTGTATGGACATTAAACTATTTATACATTAACAAGCAGTAAAATTACTTTGAGTCATTGCTGACTGGCAGGATGCCAAGATCTGCTCTGATAGAAAACCACACTGCCTCCATTATAAGCTCCACAATGTTTATAGATACAGAGGTGACTGAGGGCCTGATCTCCAGTGATTTTACTACTTGTTCACTTTACAGTCAACTATCCCCAAAAATATGCAAAGAAAATTGGAGCAAAGTCTGAGCTTCTTATCCGAATACTTGTTCCAGATCCACTGAACATGAGTGTCTGCATGACAGCCAGGCAAACAGAATTTTCTGGTAGGGGGCCAGGACAATTGTTTTCACAACAGGTCTACTTTATTCTTTCTTCTTGACAAACTCATGGCTTGTTTTTCACAAATGTTTCCTTGCAAGACTGGCAGGCAGGAAAATAAAGGGGTTTGTGAAAGAATATTGTACTGGCGTTTGATTGTTATTCTTTAGAGTTGTGTGATGATTGGAATGTGTTCCTCTAAATGACTTCCATGTGTCACCACAAGAGGGCGCTGCTGTGCTTACAAATATTCATATGAACTATAAGGAGGACCAGGGAATAGGACATCGTAGAAACTGTTCTGCAAATCTTTTTATTGGTCAAAAGCTTCTATACGTATTTATCAGAATTACCTAAAATTTCCAGTAGTGCGGTGCTAACTACATAAGGTATAAGACCTAAAATCCATCAATAAAATGTAGCAATTAAATTAGACTAAGGAGTTCGGGATGATCTGCCATAGGGGGGTATGTGATGGTTCTTGCATTGAATACGTAAAGAGGAACTTTACCCAGATCTTTGAAATGCCAACAAATACACCTTTAGAAATGTTTAGTAATGACAATCTACAAACACATATGTACGTCTAGATCAGTGGTTCTCAACCTGTTTAACCTCGGCACCCACATTTGTCCTCGGTCATTAAGTCGCGACCCAAGTTGCACTGCAATGTTCCCTGTTGCGGTACTGCGCTTTCCGGTGCAGGCGATCGAACTGTGGGCAGGAGGTGTGTTTGGGTTGCCATTATGCAAATTGGAGTGGATCCTCAACCTGGGGTCCAGTGTGGGCTGCTGAGCTGTGATGGAGCTCCATCCATATGTGTATTGCTTGTAAAGCTCCCGTGTGTGCCCGTAGAGGTGTCGGGAGCCAGAAAGTGATGAGCTGTAAGCAATGCAGGTATGGATGGAGCTCCCTCGCGGCCATAGCCCCACCTCAAGTCGACACTCGGCACCGGGCTTCATATTTTTGAATGGCTGCTCGGTGCGAGAACTGACAGTGCTTCTCTAAGGGGAGGACAAGGATACTCTCACCTAGAAAAGTGGAAGGCATCTGGCGACCCACTGGACATGGGGCCGCGACCCACTTTTGGGTCACGACCCACCAGTTGAGAACCATGGGTCTAGATAATTGCCGGCTTTGTATTCTTTGCATACATTATTTCTCTTTTCTTTTCCAGTCTTCTGACAGTGGACATTTTTACTAACGGCGGGTTACTAGATCTCCCTTTACCTCCTTGAACTCTGGCACATGTGACTAGGACATGTGACCTAGCACATCATCTCAAAGGGAGGAAAATGCCTTTCAATTATATCTGGTGAGATTACAGATGAGATTTCCCAGCAATGTTCTGCTGATGTAATCTTCCCAGCATGCAACACTTAGGCACATTACATCACTAATGCCCAAGTGGAGCAGGAAGTGCAAAACCAGGATAGTAAGTAAAAGCAGAATATGTTTAATGTATGTAAGATTATTTCATATCAGCATATAGAGCTGCACGTTGATGTGATTTTATTTTTAGTGAAAGGGGTAAGGGTCCACTTTAAAATGTCTGTTTTATTTCATTTCCTGTGTCAGCAACATAGCAGAATCAGAGCACTGTTTAATATAGTAATCTGATTGGTTCACAGAGCAGTGCCCGCCATTCCCATTATGCAGGTCACACATGCAGCAATTTGTAACCGATTAGTGACAGGACTGACCGAATCTATATGCCTCTACAGCCCACCACACACGTTATAATTTGACTGTACAATCTCCTTTGGATCTACCAACAAGTAATCATTCCTCACACTTGCCGCTGCTAGACCCGCCCGCCTGCATCCACGCTCCCCACCTCCTCCCTGCCTCACAATCACCGCCCGCCTACATCCATGATCGGCACAGGGACACAGGGAGAAGTAAGGAGGAGCAGGCGTGGGGGGGATGACAGCCGCTGATAGACAGGCCTGATCTCAGAAGCAAGTTGCTGGAAGACTGCTCAGGTAAGCCTGCACTTCCCTCCCCCCACACATGGTGCTCTATAATGTATTGCTGTGATTTGTATTTCTCTATAGCTGATGGTACATTGTGCTGTATATTATACATAGGAATACAAATCCCAGCAATACATTGTACACTGTATGTATAATGTACTATTGCTGGGATTTGTTGTACTCCTCTATAGCTGGTGGTATTCTGCATTGCGCTGTAGAGGACTACAAATCCCAGTAATAATATATTATACAGCGCAATGCAGAATACCACCAGCTATAGAGGAGTAAAAACAAATCCCAGCAATAGTACATTATACAGCGTAACATGGAATACCGCCAGCTATAATGTACTATTGCTGGAAGTATTCTGCATTGCGCTGTGTAATGTACTATTGCTGTGATTTGTAGTCCTCTATAGCCGGTGTCATTCTGCATTGGTTGCTGTATAATTTTACACTTTCCATTTCACTATATTGCACAGCACACTTTTTTTTTTTTCTTCCACCGCTCCAAGCTTGCTCCTGTGATGGACTACAATCTCAATACAAACTAGTAGTCCATTACTGGAGCCATTTTTTTAAAATCCCAATTAACCGGTTAATTGAACTTAATAATCGGCTAACTAATCAATTTTGAAAATAATCATTAGCTGCAGCTCTAGATAAATGG